CCCCGGCGGAGACAGGGGCCCCCGCCCCCGGGTGGGCGTGGACAGCGTGAAGGCAGTCGTCACGGCAGCGGGCCGGACCTGGCCGCACGTGGCCTGGCGCTCTGGGGTCCTGTGCGAGGGCGGGGCCGGCCCCGGAGCCCTGCAGCCCGGAGAGGCGGGCGCCCCCTGCGGAGTGGAGTACGGTGGCCAGGACGCGGCGGGCGGAGGCCCAAGCGGTTGCTCCTGGGGCTTCTGCAGGTGTCCCTGCAGCGGCCCCCCTTCCCCGTGGGGTGCTGCCCGTCTCCTCTGCCTCATTTGCGCTGGTGCCCCCTGGGCGGGGGAGCCTGGCCTAGGCCTGCCTGGCCCCTCTGGGCCCTGGCTGCGTCTCCTGGGCTGCCCTCAGGCTGGGCCTCTGCGGTCCGGGCAGTGAGAGTCCTGCCTGTCCTTGGGGGCCTTCCCAGTGTCCTGCTGGGCTTGCCGAGAAGGCCCTGCTCGGCCTGGTGGAGGTGGGCTCTACTGGTCCCGCTGTCCATCCCGTGGCTTTCTTGGTAGTGGGGTTGATGGCTTCCCTTCTGGGTCCTGGCCCAGGGGACACGGGGCACCATGAGGAGGCCCGGGGACGGTAGACTGCTGAGACCAGCCTGCGAATCTGGGCCGGTAATGACCGGAATGTTCAAGCCAAGTCATGGCCAGTGAGGACAGCCAGGGCCTGTGGGAAGGACGGGTGGCGGTGGCAGCCCCCTGATGGCCACTGGCGTGCACGGCTCTGCTCCAGGCTGAAGAAGCCGCAGAGGCGGAGGTATGGCCTCCTGCCCAACACCGATGACCTCACCGAGATGGCCTCGCTGGACAGCGACGAGGGGGCCACCTTCGAGACCAGGAGTCTGAGATGGTTGGTGGCAGCACCCGCCCTTGATCCCGGGAGTGCACTGTGGGTGGGGCAGGAGCAGGATCAGAGCAGGACAGGGCCAGGAGCTGGACAGGACCAGGGCCAGGGCAAGGGTAGGGGCAGGGCAAGGTCACGGCCAGGGCAGGACAGGGCATGGCAGGACCAGGACCAGGGCCAGGGGCAGGGCAGGGCCAGGGGCAGGCTTGTGGCTCACTTCCCGTCTCCCTACGAAGGCGTCCGGCCACGTTGGGCATGGCCCGCACTGGTCCTGCCTGCTGGACGAGGCTGGCGTCGGGAGAGGCTGTCCACAGGGGCGAGGGCGGCTGGCGAGGCTTCTCGTGGTGGGTTGTGGAACTAGCCCCTGAACAGCATTCCAGGCAGAGGGACCCGCAGGGACGGAGGCTTTGAGGCTCAGCCAGGCCATGGGCGGAGAGCCGTGCAGAGCCTGGACACGCGGCATGGTGGCCTGGAGACCTGGGGCAGGGCTGCCTGGGAGGGGCATTGTTACCAGCCGTCCTTTCTATCCCCCTGGTCTGTGGGACACTTCCCTCGAGGAGGGCAGTCGGGCAGGACTGGCACTGGGGAGCCGGGCAGAGGGCGGTCGTTGCTCCTCACTGCTCCCCCTGCCCCTCGCCTTCCAGACGCCGAGCTGGGGAGGACGAGAGACAGCCCATGCAGCGCCTGCGGCCTGACCCGCTGCTGGCCTCGGAGCCCGAGCGCAGCCCACCCAGGCCACCCCACACTGCTGACAGCAGGCCCTGCTCCCGGACGCTGCCCGGCCTGGCCCAGCGGGCCGTGGGAGCCCGAGGCGCCACCGAAGGAGACACGGGCTGCTGCCCTGCCAACTGGGGCCTGGTGGGCGGGTGACTGGGCCCGTCCTGGGGACAATAAAGCAGTGCTTTGCGCCCGTGCCAACCCCATGCTGTGTCCCGACCTGGGCGTCCTGGCTCCATCTCCCCGTCTGCGACCAGGCCGGGCGTCCCTGGGGAGCTGGGGTCTGGCAGCCTCCTGCAGCGAGGCCCTGCCGTCCACTCGGCCCAGAGAGGACTGCTCCCTGGCAGAGCTCTGCCGTGCGCCCAGGCCCTGCTCCAGGCCACAGTCCAAGTTTGGCCTTGGAGCAATGGGCCTGTGGCCACCCCAGCTGGAGGGCACCCTGGGCCAGCCGAGAACCATCCCTGCTGTCGTTCTGAGCAGCGCCACCAGGTGGCAGCCTCTCGCCGCTTGCCTGCGGCCTCTGGTGAACAACTGGACCTGCAGCACTGAGGCTGCTGCGTGCCCTTTCCCAGCCCCGCCTTGTCGGTACGCAGGTCACTGGTCTGCCCGACTCCGGGGATCTCCACGGCGGGGCGGCAAAGCCCCGCCGACTTGCACCCCTGCCAGGATGCAGAGGAGCCGTTTCCGTCTGGGTTCTGACCGGTCACGACCTGTCGCAGCTGGGGTCCCCAGTTGCCTCCTTGGGCATTTTTTAGCCTGCACCCCCCACCCCAGTTTGCTCACATTTCTTCTTCACCTCCGCCACGCCTTCCCTGCCTGCCATAGTAGCCCCAGCTGCCACCTCCAGGAAGTCCTCCCTGACCGCCAGCCCCCAGCCTGTTCTCTGCCTCGTGCTGCCGTCCACCTGTGGGTGCCTGTCTGCTCTACTCGCCCCCTCCACCCCCTCTGCGAGGGGGTCGACTGGGACGCGGTTTTAACAGGCATGCACGCGGGTCCTGGCCCGCCCTGTGATCGCCCCTTCCCCGCAGCTCTGAGCGATTTCGGAGCTTCAAAAGGCACACTAATTACTCTAATGAGGTCAGCAGAGACCTGGCTGCCACCCTAGCGGGAGCGCTGCCCCCAGCCCACTGCCGCAGCCCCTGCGGGGAGGGCAGGCTCCTCCCGATCCACCGGAGGAGCTTCGGGATGTGTAACCGCGGCCCCCCAAGGTTAACGCACGATTGGGGGGCTTCTCTGCTAAAAGCGGAGGGGTCATCATCCTGGATGGAAGGCCCAGCCCAGCCGAGCCCAGCCTGCGGGTGGGCAAGGGAGGGGGTCCAGGCTGCGTGTAGACACAGGCCAGCCCACACCATCAGGACACGGGGGGCCTGTGGGGCCTCAGCTCCTCCGCCCCCTCCGGCTGTGCCCGCAGAGCAGTGGCTGGCTCCAGGGCAGGATGGGCAGTGTGGCCCTTGTGGGCTCATGTGGCCTCAGCCACTCCATCCGGGACACAGAGCTGGACACCGTGTGGGCTGGCCACCTCCAGTCCCCTGAGGCTGTTTTCCTGGGGAGGGACACCAGGTCTCCCATGGACATGAGTGCATCTGCCTGCCTGGTCCCGGGGGCCAGAGCCAGAGCGGGAGACTTGCAGGCCTGGCCTTTCTGGAGGCCAGCCCTGGGCAGCACCGGGGCCCATGACCAGCCTCACGGCCACTGCCCCGGGGCTGGGCAGGCTCCCAGCACACCTAAGAGCGCCCGTGGGGCTGGTCACCCATCAGGAACCCAACAGTGGGGTGGTGATCACGCCGGGGCACTCTGGACACTGGCGTGCCCGACACAGGTGGGGGGTGGAGGAGACCGTGTCCAGGCCCTGGCGTGGGGGCTCGGGTGTCAGGAAGCCTGGCTGGGAGCCTGGATTTACCGAAGGCGGAAAGCCAGAGAGCCGGCAAGCCCTGGACCAGCGTGCAGGCAGGGGACATGCCCCCTGGCCCACCCCC